CTTTCCTTTGATAATACCGTAATTTTTAGGGTCTGATCTCATACTTGTGCTTTTTTTTTATACAAGAATAATCTTATTTCATTCAAATAAAAACAAATATTATCACGTTATATGGGTAGTACAATCACTATGTGACCAGGGTTAAATATTAGTGGTCTTCAACTTTGCCGAAAACTTTAATATTAAAAAGAAAAAAGAGTCGCTAGATTTATTGATTTTATCGATATTATTATTATTGTATAACAGTGAAAAAAATATTTCTCCAGGATTCAGGGCATAATCAGGTTATTATTATATAAATGAATTATACAAATTATTATGTTTAGTCTTTGTGCATGTGTATGTCTATCTATCTTTACAAAAAAAATTTTTTTTAAAAAAAAAATCGACAAATGTTTACAAATATTTATTATTATTATTTATTGTTTATTATTGTTTGTTGTGATTTCTCACCCCTCTTTCGTTTTTTTTCTTGATAAATGCTCATTCATTCAATTATCGTACGCATATACACACAACAATGAGACCGATAATGACTTGTAATGACTTATTAACTACCAATTTTAGCAATAATTAATCATTTGACAACTAAATAAACGAGAATTCTTTGTTCTATCCATCTTTAATTTTCTTTTGACTTTCTTTACTTGTTTTTTTTTTTCTTGTATCTCATTTCACAAGAATTATAAGAAATGTGAAATTGATTGATTGATTGATTGAAAACCACATAATTTTAATAAATGTAAATATGAATGTAAATTTATTTTTTAATCAAGAAAAAGAAATTAACGACGACGTTGTTACGTGACGCGACGGACAGACAAAAAAAAGTTTTTAAAACATAATTCAGTTGAAAATAAACCAATATACAAGTACATTTAAATGAGTATTCATTTAAGTTATATGCAAGTATGCAAGTATGTACTATTACCTAAATATATCGCATTTATAGGTGTAATATGCTGATCTTTTTTTATGTCTTAATTGTTCTGGTGCAATCCAATGTTCAATAGGATCAAAATGATTATCAAAAAACGGATCAGGATGTAAAGGACGAGCAAATCGAAAATTTGTGATTTTTGGTTCAAAATTCTCACCAACCTGTTATTATTATTATTATTATTATTATTATTATTATTATTATTATCATCATCATCATCATCATCAACATAATAAATATAAATTATTTTGC